AGCACATCCCCGAAGATGAGAAGAGAAGGGTTTCGTAGCAGTTTATATACAGTTCAGATAATATCAAAGCGGTAAAAACATCATTTAGCACATTAGGCCCAAACATGTAATAAAATCAGATAACAGATAAAGCCAAAATATAACAATTATTCTAAGCTCGAATTCGTGAACCCTGAACCGAAGTTCTGGGTTCTTGTCCCTAGCAGAGTCGCCAGAGCTATCACACCTCCTTTTTTACACACCACCCCGAAAGGATAGTATATAAGGGAGTTTTTCCAATTTAAGTGACATTATTCGAAATGGGATTATTTATTTATTTTTGTTCAGAGTCGCCACTTGGGATAGTTTATTTGGTGTCCCAAGTCACCGGTTTATTTTGAATCCCAAATCGAGGAAAATTTCGACTTTCCTTGTGAAGTCTGCGAACCAGAAATTCTGAATAAGGAATTCTGTTAACCCGAGGGAAGGTGTTAGGCACCCCCCGATTCCGTGGTTCTAGCACGGTCGCTTAAACTATTATAATTGGCCGATTATCTGATTTTAATACATGTTCAAACCTATAGTGCAATTTTAAATTATTTACTGCTTTTAATTAATTTTAAGGAAGATTGAACGTCATTTAAAATATGTCTTTGGATCACGTCACATGAAATGCACCCGCAATCCGAAACACATTTTATTCAACGTTTTAGGATTTGGATTTGGGTCACATGAAATGCACACCCGAATTTAGGAAGATAGTATTATTAAATAACGCGCCTAAAGCAACTAACGCGTTGTTAACTTTGCGGGGGGCCATAAAAATTCGCTAAATGGAACGTCCCGAGTTCTAAGTATTTTAACGGATATAATTAAAGAAGGCCATGCATTTGTGATTTTGTTTGGCACGGCGCACCTCAATTCCATTTTTTTAGGGACGTCCTAACTAAAAATTGGCGGGCCACAACTATTGTTGTCTAGTATGGCTCACCTCCATCTAAATGAACCAAATTAGCCTTTTAGGATCATAACTAAAGCTGCTGATCGCATGGTTGTTATTTACAAAAGGTTGCTGGGCTTCTGGACTGAAATAAACCCAAAAGAAAAAGTGAGTGACGACAGTCCAGGTGTTTGAGACTTCCCATTGACTAGGCCCACGTCAAACCCAATTCATTGAACAATAAACTATATAAAATTGTTTAAGACACCAAATCAGCTAAGGCTCAAGAAGCATGAAACCAAATCAATACTTTTAATCTAAATTCTAATTGATTGAGTACAAATCAATAACTGGGTTCTCTCTTGTATTTTAATTCCCTTAAGCCCAAGTCTGCTTTTGACCCAATTGGTCACAGCAATCAAAATGCACTTTGGGCCCAACGAGAGCCCCAGATCTGATTCAAAGCCAAACTATAGAAGATTTGGGACTCAAAATCGAGTCCCTGCTATTCTGCACAAAGCCCAAGAGAAGGGCCCAGCCTAGGTGAGATATACATTAGAAAATGTCTCAGGTTTACACTTCGAATCCAAATGCTAGCAATAAACGATTCAAATTTTGAGACATAGAAGGACACAAATCCAAGCATTTCGGACCCAAGAACTCACTATTAAAAGAAAAACCCAAAATCTAGGCTAACTATTACTGGACATGGAAATATTGGCTTGTAATTAAGCAAATAATTGTTTCAACACGTTTTTAGTTCCAACACATTCATATGCTAATCTAAAAAAAACACTACGAAGTAATCATTACTAAAACTGGTAAAGCCAAAATAAACATGTTCATTTCTAAAAAATAACAATTGACTGAACATTTTAAATTTCTGCACCAGTCCTGAACTAGAATCAACCATTTGTTATTTAACATTGCCTTAGAAATATCCTGACTACCCCTTTAGCATTTAAAACCCAATTCAAGCATGAGATTAGTACCCCAAAACAGTGATTATCCATATCAAATAAGGAGGAAACAACTCACTACATTTGAACCTATTCAAAACCATTAGTGCAACAGTCCAACAGTCCAAAATTATATACAACATGAAAATTTAGCTAATCAGTAGAAGCTAACTGAACTACATTGAATCAGATGAATAAAAACATAAAAAAAACACGAGAAGTCAGCATGGCCTTTATTTCATCCCTAAATTGAGAGCTACATCATAAGAGAGCTAGGATCGATACCTGGATGTAGAAGAAACAAAGGAAAAAGATGAAGGATCAGCAACTACAGAGCAGTAATCAGTAGTTTTCAACTAGTTATGAACCCAGAAAGTGAAGCAAAACAGTCTAGAAAATCAACTTCAAACCCAGCAATGAACCAGAAGACCTCAACTAGACTTGATTTCAATTCATTTCAGCTATCAGCTACCCAAAAATTGTTTTAACACTAGGAGAAATTTCAGAAATCCCCAACAGGACTCAATGAAACAATATTTTTCCTAGAGTTTTCAGTCGTTTGGATTTTCAGGACTTTTAGCTCTTAGAATTCTTTTCTCTGTATTTTCAGCTCTTCAAAATCTGATCTTGCAAGGCAAGAATGGCCTGCCTTTATAGGCAAGCAATTAGGGCAGCCCTCAAGGTTTTATTTCCCCTTTAGGTCCCTCATTTTATGACTTGTTTATCAAGTTAGCATCTGAAAATTAACTAAAGGCCCTTGCTAGAAGCTTCTAGGGATTTCTTAGGCAGTTAGGGAAAGATTCCCTGAACTCTGTTCCCTAATTTACCCTTAGGCAACGTGCTATTTACCTTTTACCCCTTCCTTTGAGACCCCTCTAGTTTTTAGATTGACAATTAAACCCTAAACCCTTTGAAATATGACAAACAGGATTATTCAAAAATGCTAGGGCTCAAACAGATCAAACTATGAAAAACCTAAAAAAGAAAAATGCAGAAAGTTTACAATTGAACATGAATCAAACACACAACACTCACAGGATCATTTAACGAGTAATTTAAACAAACCTAAACCTAAATTAAACAACACAGAACATTCAAACTTGTTAACCATTAAAACAAAACATAAAGGTCGAGATTCAATAGTTCGATTAATAGGGGAAACAGGAACAACACTTAATTCAAACTTCAACTCAAGGGAAAGGGGTGAGGAAGAAGATGAATCGATTTGAAAGAAAAATCAAAAGAAGTGAAGAAGCCCTTACCTATTTGGACAGAAATGAAACGGACTTGAACCATTGATTTCGTCCCCAATATTGTCACCCACTTGTTCTTAATAAGAACAAATAGATAGCATTATCGAGGGACGAACCGATAAAACCTTGAATATTCAAAAACGGTCTGGACCCTGAACCCTAGATCTGAAATTCGAACGATCTGGGGGGTTTTTGAGAGCAATTGACCATAGATTAGTGGAGAGGAGGTGCTAGGGGTTCAAGGGTGTGGTTTTGGGGTTGATTGGGGCTGCCGCCACCGGAGAAACTGTGGTGGCGCTAGGATTTGTAGCTTCTGAACAAGATTCGAGAGGTTTGGGTAAGTTTTGAGGGAAGGTGTTTGCAGATTTGGGATGTGGAGGTGGAGGGGAATTTAGGGTGTAATTTTGGGGGTCATTGGAGACTCGCCGCCGCCGTGGGCGATTTTCAGCGGCGGCAGACGGTGGGGGGGGGGGGGAACGATGACGGCTAGGGTTTCTCTAGGGTTTGGGGGTTAGAGACGGGAGACGAGAGGGGGTAGAGGGGTCGCGTTTGGACACTTTTATACCTGAAGACCCCAGCTTCAGGACCGTCCGATCAAGAAACCTCGACGGTCCTGATCTGTCGCCAATGAAACGACGTCGTTCGGGTGAGGGGTGACTGGACCGGGTATTGGGGTTTAACATTTGGGCCTGGGATATGTTTGGTCCGGTTTAAAGGGTGTTTGGTTGACTGGGATGGGATTTGGTTTGGGCCAGCCCAATATTTGGGCATTTTTTAATCTAAAGACTCAACTTCTTTTAATTTTTTCATCTNTATATTAAGCTCTAATTAATACTTAACTCAATTAACTAAATACCAAATTGAAAGAAAATTAACGAAATTCAAAGCTAAAAATTAAACAAAGCAAAAATAAATTAATTTTTGTATTTTTGTAAAATCCTAATTGCTAATTAATCTAAAATATGTGAAACTAAATCCTAAATGCAAATGCAATACGTATTTTTGTATTTTTTATGAATTATATAAATTAAAAGTGCACATAGAAATGCAGGCAAACATGAAAATTATGCAATTAATTCCTAAAAAAATCAAATAATTAAGAGAAAAATCCTAAATCTAAGAAATCTGTAGGAGTAATTCACGCGGAGCAAAAATCACGTGCTCACAAATACTATTTTGACACAAATACTATAAATAAGGAGCATTTGTGTATGAATATAGGCTATTATCGCAAAATTAGGTAAATAGCTTAAAAATACAAACATAATTATACGAAACGAAGTGAAATATTATGAAACATATATGGGGATGCAGAAATAGTAATTTTGGATGATTAAGTCATCACAAATAATTTAAAGGGATAATTACTAAATATTTATGTAATTTAAATGCAAGAAAATTAATTTTGAAGCTCAAAAAATTATGAAAAATTGTAGGAAAATGCTTGTATAGATTTGTAAACTAAATAATAATGCATAAAATAATGTTTTGAAAGTATATGTATTGTTTGAAAAAATATGAGGGCAAAATTGGGTATCAACAGTAGTTTGACTTGACACAAAGTTTAAGAGAAAAAATGAAGACTTTTGAAACATGTGGTCCTAAAAATGTAAGGGGCAAAAGCTTTGTGGGACCGTGACATTTTCTTGGCTATAAAAACTTCTCATTAAGGATAAAGTGGGGAAAATAAAAAGTTTAAAGATAAATTATTTCTAAATATAAAAATATGTAATTTTTTTTGAACTAATAAAGAAAGTGTGTTATTTAAATTGAAATCGAGGGAGTAATTCTTTCGGACACTTTTCCATATAAATAAAGCTGAAGTAACTGAGTGAGAGTGAAGGAAACAAATGGTAAGAGACACGTACATAAATAAAGATAATCTTTATTGAAGTCTCAGCCGAAGAAAAACTGGTGAACAGATTCTCTCGCAACAATTTTCTATAAACCCTACATATGAAAATCAACAATAAACTCAAATCCTATCTCTCCCTCCCTGGCTCTCTCACTATATATACTACAATAACTATTACAATGGTAACATATATGTAACAAATAATAAAACACTTGTTGTCGTTTCCTTTGCACGAATTCACAAGGAAAATGACTTAGAATAATACATACGTAGACGATTATGCATGTAAATTAGAAAGAAGAAGGGGAAATTTCAGGAGCATCAACAACAACTTCATCTTCAGAAGCAATAGGGGCAGGGGCATCAATTGCAGCTCCACTGCTTAATAGTTCAATCATGGCACGGTGTGGGCTGCTCCTTTGCTTGTTGCATAATTCTGGCAAATATACTCCTACATATATATTTCATTTAAGAAAAGGAACATTAGTGAAAAAAAAAAACATTAAAAGTCATCGAAATAAAAAAAAAGTTGAAATATCTGAATGCAATGTATTGCTTTTCTAGAAAAGATATATATTCTTTGATTCAACATTAAGATTTTGATTTGCAAGAAAAGCATAAACTGTTTTGGCCATCTTCGCAAACATTTGAAAGGAAAAGGACCTAAAAAATGTAAAATAAGTTTTGTTGAGCATGATCGGGTCCAAACTTCAAAATGGTGTGATGCAGCAATACAATAATTTGTTAGCTAGTTTTGGGACATAAATTTGTTTGAAACTTAAAAAAAAAAAAGAGTTTTTAAAGTTGTGTTGAACTAATTTTTGGAAGTTGAAATTGTGTTTGGACATGCATTTTATTTGGAAAAAAAAGTTAAAGTTTTGATTGGCAAAAGAAATTCACCCAAAAACTATCCTAAACTAATTTTTGTGAACACAAAAAAAATTTCAAATTATTTCACGAACAAACAATGTTTTCAATTTTTTTTTTGAAATAAAATAGTCAAAATCTATGACGAAATGGGAGCTTAGTCTAAGTTGAAGAATTGTGTGATTTATGTATCTCTCTTAAGATTAAACAGAGGAAAAGTGTGTTCTCTCTAACCGTGTAAACTTTTAGATGAGTCACATAATTGAACCAAAACAGGAGACAAAAAAAAATTGTTACATTTTGTGTGAAATTGATCTAAAGTGTAAAGGGAATATATAAGGAAAATGATTAAATCTTATTAGTACCTTCTCCTGCAGCCAAATTGAAGTAAAGATCAACAACGTTAGGGCAATTCTGATAACAAGGAGGAGAACAAAGTTTTGCTGTGAAATGAGGTTCAAGCAAAGAATCTGAAGAAATCCCCACAGAGTTCCTATCAACACCACATGCATTTACACATTCATCTGTTTCAATATATTCTGCCATGTTTCCAACTACAACCTCTGATGTCTTACATTGGTACTCCATTTTTCCATCTTTATTCTCTGAGTTCTCCAATAAACATCTCTTCCCAGATGACGCGATGGAAAAGGAACAAACATTTGTTGGCAAGTTTTCACATATGCTTTCCCCTAAAAAAAGAAATAAAAAAGAATTATGTATATTAGCTTCTACATATACATGTTTATCATATATTAACGTGCATGGTATTATCAAAATTTACCTAAAATAAATCATTTCGTATAAAAAAAAATTAGAATTCTTTGTTTGAAATATTTTAGAGTCGAAACATGAGGTCTGAATATATGTGCGAATGATAGTTTATATATATATATATATATATAATTTTTTTATCTATATATGTCATGTTCTAAATATTAGAATAAACATTTGATGAAGCAGAATTATCTCTATCAAGATGACAGACTCGTTCGCTGTACTATCAATTGAATATTGAACGAATAAAATTGAATATATAACCATACCTAATGCACCTTGGAGGAAAAGGGTGCAAGCAAAGAAAAGAATCATGGAGGAGTGATTCAGGAATGAGGCCATTCTTTTTCCTTCTTTGTTCTCCGCTCCTTCTTTTAAGAAAAAAAATGTATTTTTTTGTGAGTGATTTTGTTAGGCTTTGTGTTGTTGAGAAATGTGGAAGAAGAGTTGAAGGTTAGGAATTGTGTTTGTAACATGAAAGAGAATGGAGGGATTTCTTCAATATATATAGGGAGGTGATGACTGTGAGAAACCTAAGATTACATGCGGTCATGACAAATATCTAATGTCTGGTCACAAGTTTACTTTATTTGTTTGGTCGTTCCTTCTATTTTATTTATTTATTTGTCTTTTGTTATTTATTTCTGAATTTTGAAATTCTAATCAGGGTGGAGCTAGACGAAGGAAAATGTATTAAATTGAATCTCCTATATCGAAAAATTATACCATACAAGTAAGGCTAAAATATTTTTTGTATATAAATAAACTGTCGAATTCCTTTGGCGTAAAGGGATGTACTAATATAGTGGTAAAGAAGACTCGAAATATTTTAGATAATTGGTTCAAATTTCAACTATGATATTTTAGTTTTTTCTTTTTTAATTCCCTGTATATAATTTCTTGATTAATCTTCACCAAGTATGAAGGGATGGCTTATGACTGGTAGCTCAAGATGATTGGAAACTTAGTGGAGCCCACGCGTTTTCTTTAGTAATTTTTTTTTCTCGTGTTTATTCTTCACCTAAAAGATTAATCATTTCTTTGATTCTCTAATTTGTAGTAAGTTTACTCATGCCTTCTATTTGACGCCTGATTACGCCCAACTCTAGTGCTAAAAAGATAAGCGGTCACTGCAAATATAATTCGGTTTAAAAATCCGGAGTCGAATCCCACAAATAACTAAGGTTTCGCTATAACTGTTCAATATTACTAAGAGCACAAGCTCGAATAACTTTCAAGTTACTTAAACTAATTCACTAATAATTATCAAAAAGCAATAGAAATTTATCAACTAAAGAAACAAAGGGTTGGAGACTAAATTAAGAAGGTCTAGAGTTATGATTTCCTCAATTTTCGGAATCCTTCCCGCTAAGTCTCTTACAATTTTGCCTAAGTATTCTCTACTGATCATGAGCACTCGACTTATTGTAATTCTCTCTCGAGCAACTACAATAATGTACTAGTCATATTCTCTCGAATTACGCTAGCTCGCACTTTTTCATCGCTCACTATGATCACGTCAAAGCTTCGTTATCTCTAATCCGCTTTTAAACCCGCCGTATTGATTTCTCATATATCTTAGGAGTGACGTTGTTCAACAACCACCTAAATATGTATCCTTTCTCAAGCAACATGTAATAAATATGCACAGTCAATCGATGGCCATTCAATCAACTGAAATAAGCACTTAGTTAAACAAGTAGATAAATCCAAAGGTTAAATTATATTAAAATATAACAAGAATTTATCCTCCAAGAGGTTCCATCAAAACTCTAGATAACAAATTAACTACTCATAATAGTATGTAAAACTACAATACTAAAAGTTATAACCAACAATGAAAAATAGGAAGAAGAAAGGAAAACCTCGTGGTTAAATCTTCCTTCTTGCTCCCAGCGTATTCTTGCCTCTTTGGGTGTTGTCTAACCCTAGAGTAGTGTCTCCCCCTTCAAAAGGACGTTTTATGATGTATTTATATCAATTAGGATTGATGTGGGGCGTCCTTGAGCTCTCCTAATTCAAAAAGAACACGCCGAGTCGCGTGCCAGAGTTGGTGCAACGCGCGACTTCTGGCACGCTCCCAGTTACTTCTTTTTTTTGTTCTTTGTTCTTTCGCGTGCCTGGTCTAGTGCCAACCTCCATACTTTGCTATTTTTTGTTCATCTCCTAGGTCATTTCGCGCCTACCTTCATGCAATGCACCAATTGTGGCACGCTTCCGGGTCTTGCATCTCTACTCTTTTTGCATCAAATTATCCAATTCTCGCCAGCTTCCATCCAAATTCATTCCTACACACAATAAACATGTAATGAGCATACTATATGTTTATAAACATGTAATCTCCCGCAACTCACATAAGAAATTATATGCAAATATACTCAAAACATGCATTTTTCATCATTTATCTCTACCCCACACTTAAACTCTTGCTCGTCCTCGAGCAACTTAAAATTAAGGACATCGGCAAGTAACACAATTCCAAAACATACTTAAGTATCGTATCAATGACAATGGTTTATATCAACGCTTAGAACTCGACATACGCACTCTTCACACTCTTTCTTATTATTAGACCAATGCCAAGACTAAATAAAATATTTGTGTGACTCTTCTACCATCCTAGCCTCAAAAATTGACTCCACTACATTCCTCTATATGACTCGCTTCTTGTGCCAACTAAAGATAGGAGTTCTTTACCAATCCATCGCAAAGCATGTGCCCTCACCAACAAAGCAAAGAGAGTAATCAGTACGCACACTCAAATATGAATTCAAGTATAATATAAGGACTCACATATTGAAAGAATTCGCTCACTCTCGCAAAGAAACTCATGTGCCACCCAAGTTTGTACCATAGGCTTGCCCGTAGTGTAAGACTCGACTAATTTAAGCTTGTAACATCTAGGATCAAGTAGGACTTTATAGGTTGTAATGTAGGCTAAGGGACAGGTATGATATATATTGAGAAATAGTGACTAACCCTCCTAAGCACTTTAATACACCACACTTCACTTTTAAGCACATCTTCTTGTCATGACCAATTAAATATTTTGCCATGAAACCATACACAATTAAGCCCTTCTTCATTAATCACATTAAAATATAGATACTCACTAGCCCAAACAAAGATATGGGAGATGTCATTCATCAGTTTTTTTCTTTTGTATTTTTTTTACACTGTCCTTAATTTGCTATTTCCGGCTAGTAAGGCTTTTACCTACAAATGCACCTTATCGGACTTCCTATGGTTCCACTCAAAAGCTACCCAATCTCTTTTTTTACTCTTTCAGCGACTTAAGTGCTTTCGGAGGTAAAGGGTGAACAAGATACGATTTGGAACAAAATAGGGTTTGGCTCGTAATGTGGGTGCCAAAGAAAAATGTCTACAGGCTCAAAAGGGCTGACTACGGATAATGTTATCAATGGTAGGCAAATTGGCTCAAGGGTCAATTAAAGAAACGCCTATATCATTTCTTAAACTCACAAGACTCAATCATTTCGCTTCGACTCACACACGGGGCATGTTCTAGACTAACAAGGGATGGCATAGAGTACACCAAAATCTCACCTCACACAATGCACATGACTTACTTAGGACGGCTTAGACCCGACTCTCAAGTTAAAGCAACTAGCAGAGTCATCATATAATCTAAACACCAGGAAGTAACAAGACGAGTCAATAAACGAGCCCAAGCGTCAAAAGGAAGTCACACATATTCTCAAGGCATATAGTCACAATAATCAAGAAGAAGGTACTCAGCACAAATGCTTCCACCTCTGATATAAACCATGTCAAAAATTTAGACACTCAAGTTCTTCCTATTCCATTATCAGTTAAAAAAAAAAAGAAAAAAAAATCTTTTTTTATATTTTTATTTAGACTTTAAACCCCTCAAGAAAACTGTCTAGGAAGTCCATCGTAGAGAAAAGTCCAAAACTTTTTTTTTTCTTGACAATTTTACCTACGAAAGAAACTACTACCCGGTTCAAAGAGTCATCCCTTGGAAAAGAAACGTGGCCATAAGAAAAACCAAGAGGGATTATTTCTGCCTAATTATTATTTTTTTGATTTTTTTCAACACACATAAAATAATACAACTAAAATAGCATAGTAAATCACCCAAAAAGTCTCTTCACCCCACACTTAAAATTGCACATTGTCCCCAATGCACACCCATAAATACAAGAGGGTAAAAGAAACTCTTTGGTAGGCAAAGGCCGAAGCATTAGTAGCTCATGGGATACTCAGACTTCTCCTAGATTTGATTCTTTGTGCGGGCACCCCACACTTTGTTCTAACCATCTCGCTTGACTTTGCTTCCTTCCAATCGCTTTGCTTCCTGTGCACCTAGAAATTCAGAAACGACACTACAAAAATGATACAACACAAAATTAAATAAGAAAAAAAACTACAAATAAAAGAAAGCAATAAAGATGGGATGCCTCCCAACAAGCGCCTGATTTAATGTCGCGGCACGACGCGCATCACTTTTTGTCTCCACCTCGAGCTTATGAATTGAATCCCAAAGTTTTGCTTCAAGCTTATGATTATGCTCTTGGAGCGGTATAAATTCTTGCGAGCCAAAAATTAGATAAAGCCTTATGCACTTGTTGGATCTCGACGAGGAGTGTCACCTTGCCTAGACGGCCTTGAAAATTTCAAAATATAAGGCTCGTCTAACTCTTCCCTGGACTTCTTTTTATGCTCGTAAGGATCCATTCCCCTTTCACCATTTGAACATAATGTAGAGAAGTGTTTGGAATGAGGTCCAACATGCTCAAATACATGAACTTCATGATTTTTGATCTCCTCAACACCAATCACACTAGAGTCAACTAAATTTATATCTTCAATGTCCTTGGCTGACTTTAGTGTTACTTCTTCAACATCGGCATCCTCAAATTCTAGTTGGATAGATTGTTGGTGTTATACTCTGACCTCCTTCATTAGTACCTCAATTTCAGTGTCTAATTCATGCTCTTCTTGACTACTATCCCCAGTATTGGCTTGTTGAGCATTAAATACTTCAACTAGTTGACTCACTTGTGCCTCCAGGTTGCAAATAGTATAGCATCTTGCCTTTGTATGTGCAGTTATTTCTCATTATTTTGTTCCACAAGGCACCTTAGCATATCCTTGATCTCTTTCAGGTCATCATCCCTGGGTTCTTTGTTCTTATTAACTTCACAAGAAAAAGAAGAACCATCAAAGTAAGGGGTTGGGGGAAGATAAGAAATATAAGCACAACCATAAAAGTGACCATCTTGACCACCACACATATCACATACATTCCATACATAAGATTGAGTTGGTGCACATAACTTGATCTGGGGAATATTTTGATAATTTTTCCATGGGTGATTTTCTTCACAATATGCATAAGGAGGATTAAAAGTAGAATTACCAACATCAAAACTCTCATAATTCCATGATGCCATGTTTTTTTAAAAATCAACAAGTAACACAAAAATTAAAATCAAATAC